ATTTACCGCTGCATTTACCTACCTCGTCAGCAGGTGGGTCGGGGGGTGGGGGGGTGGGGGTGGAACTCAAATCAGACGAGGCGCTGTGATATAGTTTACCACATGTGTTCGGAATGCGGTACACAAGGGCCTACAATCAGACGAGGCGTGGTGGTGCTTTTGCCGCATTTTCGGAAAGGGGGGGAGGGCAGCCCACCTCCGGCCAAGTCCAGCGCCGTGTTTGCGACTACGGGTGATGTGTTCCTCCACAAGAGAACTTGACGGGTCAAGTGTCTCATGATGATAAAGTATCGGGATGCACCAGCCACGACACACTCGCAGCTAGCTTTGGCAAAATGAACGAAGGGAAATACGGAAATTTCTGCCGCGAAGTACACGACAGGATTGAAACGAATTCTGCCGCAGCGGCGAACGCTCATGGACGCGTCATTCACCCTGCTATCTTCCCCTTTTCTTTGACGAACAAAAACCATATGAGTGGGGGGGGGGGATTAGACTTGCCAGGAATCTCCTTAGACCTTCCGAGGTATGACTACCATTGGCCAAAGTCCACGCCGCAGTCACAAAAGAGGAATGCACCCAACACAGGGAGAGAGAGAGAGAGAGAGAGAGAGAGAGAGAGAGATTGTTGTTTCGGTTTTTGTTTCTCCGCCTGGCTTGTCCGAGGCATGAGAGGAAAGAAACCGGCGAAGCTATGCATACAACACGACCGCACGAGCGAGGTATTCTGAAGCCAATGCTCCATCGACAGCACCACAGGCAGATCGTGTCCTTTTATGCAAAAAACTCTTTGCGATTCGAGGCACGGCTTCGAGGGTAGGGTACTGCACATGGTTAGATTAGGCGACACAGCAGAGAAGCGGTGCTGTTCGGGCTGTCCGGGGGGGGGATGGATGAGAGCGCCTCGTGCCATCCATCGGCAATCATCGGCAGCAAACAATACTTGCAGTACAACAGCAAAAAAAAAAAAACTGGCCGCATCTATGTGTGCAGACAACATGCCCGTGGTATGCAAAAAACACCGCATAAGCCGGTGGTGAGTGTGTGTGTCTCGTTCCAGTTCTTTGGTTGCCTTCAAAGGTATTGATGGACCTCTCCGGAGTCGTGAGTAGTGATGCGGCCTCTCTCTGTGTGCGGGCTTATGTCCTACAGCAGGTGGCTATTTCGGTTCGTTCAGCGGAACCCTCGCTCGGGAAGCGCGAGCAGCGGGCATCGGTTGTTCTCGCTGCTGCTGTGAAACTGCCGTGGGTACGTTTCTTTTTCTTTTGCGCTTAGATGTGCTGCTGCTGCTGCTGCTGCTGCTGCTGCTGCTGCTATGAGCGAGCAGCTCTCGCCAAGAGCTGGTTGAGTGCCCTTCTCTACTAGTGCCCTTGCGCGCGAAATACAAACCGCAACAGCTCTCTTGCTCGCGATCGTTCAAGATGATCAAACTACGGAACTGCTGCTGTGTCGTCCATGCACGTATGAATACCACCAGGGCCCAGACTTCATGTTTCGTGGTTGGCTTCAGCAGCCACGTAATGTGCGTTGGAACGATCTGGATCAAACCCTTACTGCAATCATCCATCATCGCAGGCGGGAGATCGCAAGAGGAGAGTTGGGAGGAAAAGGTTGGGGGGTAAACATGGAAGCGAGGGCTGGACTTCTGCGAGCGTTGAGGTGATGAGCGGAGTGGGCGACCACCAGCTCGTTGCTGCGCTCTATAGGAACAATATGAGGAGAGCACGGTGCGGGGAGGGGCCGTGCCCCTGACCAAAACAGCACGATTGCCGACACGACGCAGATACAAGAAAGGACCCTCCGCCACTAGCAGAAGGAGGCTTAGCGGGGCACCAGTTTTCGGGCTCGCCACTACACCCAGATGGCAGCAAGGCCTCCTCACTCACTCCCGGCAGTTTGCACAACCACACCATCGTCGTGTCGGAATGTTTCCTCCGACCAAAAGCACAAACATGCATTGTTAGGAGAACACGAGAAGGAAATCAAGTGAATAGCGCATCGTGCCTGTTGTCCCCCAACCGCCTCACCTCAGTCCTGATCCCCTCGCAGGGAGGAGGGTGGTGCGCACGAGGGGCTGGGAGAGACAGAGACCAAGAGAATGTTCTTTTGTCCGTGGTTCGTGGGTGACGGGGAAAACGGGGAGATAGCGGGGCGCGAATATTTGCAATCCATGGATTATAGAAGAGAACCACAGTCCAAACATCCATATGGATCGAAACCCCGGGAAACCGCCCGGAGTGTCCCCGAAGAGGTTCTTCTCCCTCTCCTATAAAAGCAGCGATAATCACGGCGGCGGAGAGCCGTCTGAAGGCGGCGACACGCACCCGCACGCTGGGGGAAGACGAGGAGACAACACACAACGATAACTGGTGAGATCCCGTCCCGACAGGCGTCCGTGCATCCTCTGTGTCTGTGCCTCACCCTCACCCTCTCTGTGATGTTTTTTTTGGAAATAAAATAGCAACGGCCGCACCCGCACCAGCGCCATGTGTGTGTTGGTCTGTCTCCTGTGTTGCAGCCTCCCTCATGCTGTCCCACGTGTCGATGCTGCTCTGTACCTGTTGTTGCCGTCGTACGTACGTTGGTGATCATGTGCCTGCACTGGTGTGGTCAGGCCAGGCCAGGCCCTGCCTGTTGTCCTTGCCGTATAGTCCGGAGTCTTTTCTTCTGGCTGCTCGGCTGTATGGTGGTGCTACAGCAGTGCTGGGCTGGTAGAGGTGCAGGCATTGTGCAACGCACTTGCCCAACCCCTTAACTTCATGTGTCTACCCTCCATGTTCGCGTCGTGGGACCCGTGGCCTGCCGTGCGGTAGTGTCATTGCTAGGAATGCTTCCATCCAGTGCTGCTCTGTCGGCCTCTTACGGTGCTCGTCATGCTGTGCGCTGCGGGAGCCTTTGCGGGCTACCCTGTACAAGCCCACCCCGTACAGCAACAACAGCAGCAGATATTGACCACCAGCCCTCCGCCGGAAACGCAGGCGAGACGGGTTGATGTTTGACAAGTGCGGTTCGACGTGACACCGGCAATGTTTGTTCCGTGGGTGTAGCACGCCAGTGGATTGTCGCTGCTGTGCTGTACCTCGTGCCTTTCAACGCGTGCACGTACGGTTCGCTGTTTTCGTGTACTCAGCGGTGGACGGCGAAACGTTTCATTTGTCTTGTCTTGTGATCAAACGTTGACATGGTGTCCTTCCATTCCGCCGCGTGGTGGGTTTCGCGTGCGGTTGCAGGCCATGCTTTCACCTCGCACTGGTCTGCCGTTGGGAACTCCGGCCCCTGTGGGTGCTCCCGATGCTGGGGCCGCCGGAGGTTTTGCGGGCTACCCTGTACAAGCCCACCCCGTACAGCAACAACAGCAGCAGACATTGACCACCAGCCCCCCGCCGGAAACGCAGGCGAGACGGGTTGGTGCTTGACACGTGCCGTTCGGCGTGACACCCACAATGTTTTTTTGTGTGCTTTACTTGATGTTGCTGCTGCTGTTCCCCTTGGCCCCATGAAAAGAGCACCGGTATCTGGCATTCCCCCGGTCCACATCAAGGCTCCCTGTAGAGGCCCTGCCATTGTTTTCGTGGGTGTAGCACGCCAATTGATTGTCCCTGCTGTGCTGCACCTCGTGCCTTTCAACGCGTGCACGTTCGGTTCGCTGTTTTCGTGTACTCAGCGGTGGACGGCGAAACGTTTCATTTGTCTTGTCTTGTGAATCAAATATGGGGCAAGGAAGATTGAACTCGTTGGAGTAGGTCTACAGTGGCTCCCGTCGTATCCCACGGTTTGTCATGGTTGGTAGTCATGATGCCGCATGACGAACGGCCCTTGAAGCGTGGTACTGCTGTCGCCTCCACATTGTTACCCTGTTTGTCTGTGACACGCCACTTATTTTTGTGCTCCCGGCTCTCCCATACGGCGCAGGTCATGGGATGAAGCCAAAAGAGGTGACGAAAGCAATGAAGGCGTTGCACGAGGACAGCGACATCGACATCAACAAGCGCGCGGTGCAGAACGCAGCTGCCATTGTGCACGGGGCGGAGAAGCCGAGAGATGCTGCCGATGCGTACGAAGAGGTGTGTCCATGTGTCCGTTGAGACTGTTGCCTCTCTTGTTTGTGTGTGGGATGTTGGGTTTTGCTCAAGGCGGTATCCGGGCGACAAGACACATACGATCGCAGGTGACAACCGGGAGAATATATGCCCCATGACACCAAACCAAGAAATGTTGGAGGTAAAAAATGTGTGCCGTGCCGTCGTCGTGGTTTTGCGCTGATGCCCTCGATGTTTCCGGGCGCTTAACATGTTGCAATTTCAGGTCATGGCCGCGACGGCCGACGGCGGAGTGTGCGAGATCAAGATGGATGACAGCGGCCGCCTGACGCACATCTGGTGGCAAACGAGAGAGCAGGTAGGTCGCCGGTCGTTGTGCCCCATACGAATATTCCCCAGCCGGAAGGTTTGCTTTCATTTTAGCATCTCGCACGTACCGCTTCGCCGTCCGCAAATGTAGGACGTCTGACCGAAAGCACGCCGTAGGCAAGGGTGGGGGTGCGTTGTGACGCGTCCAACACACGTCACACCCACAATTAAGTGCTCTCGATCCCCTTCGACGTCATGCTCCGAATACGCAGGTGGCGCTTTGGAATCGGTACGGTCACGTTGCGCTCTACGACGACACCGCTGTCAAGAACAGATACCGTATGCCTCTCGGTGTGCTCGCTGTCGTCGATTCGGAGTAATCGGACGCGGATCGTCGGCCAAAGCATAAACGGCCGACACCACAACGGACACTTTCCTGTGGATGTTGAAGAGTGCGTTGGAGTCTCGCGGGAAGCAGCCGGATACCTTCATCCAGGACGCGGACGCGGCGATGACGGCGGCGGTGCGAGAGGTGTTCCCGGACGCGCTGGCGAGGCGCAATTTATGGCACCTCAACCAGAACGTTATCAAGGCCCTCGCTAAAGTCCTTGGTGGGTACATGAAGGTGCGCTCTACTGGTGTGTGTTGGCGTGGTTAGTCTGGCCTCTCGTATTGTCCTGGTCGCGCGACGTACGCTGCCCACTCTAGCCCCCCTCCCCCACTCCCGCTTGTATCCCCTGTGCGAGTTGGTGCGTTGTCATGGATCAGTGTCGCCTACTTGGAAGAGTGATATCCAGCGTCTCTGCGTAGACCGTGATGCGGAGACGACCTCGGCTTCGACGGAAACATACCTCACGACGTCCAGTGCACACAGAAAAAGCAGCAGCAGCAGCAGCAGGTTGTAAGCACCAATGGTATGTCGCTGAGTTTTTTCAACCCTCTCCTCGTCTCGCCTTAGCGCTAACGAAGTGTACGGGGTTGTTGGTGGCAGTCAATCGTACAGACCGGTAGCCCATATCGCAAAGGCCCCAACTCACGCAACACCCACCCGGCCCACGTCGTTTGTGTTTTCCGCAGCCTTTCATGGACGAGTTCAGGTGTGTGCGTCAGCAGCTGTCATTGGCGAAGTTCGAACGGAAGTTCAACGCCCTCATCGAAAAGTACCCGAAGGCGGAGAAGTACATGCAAGTAGTATATGACGACCGTGCACGGTGGGCGGAATATGTGTCGCCCCTGGTGTTCTCCGTGGGTTCGTGGACGACATCAAGAGTTGAAGGTGCGTGTATTGCGTCATCTGCCATCATGAGCGTTTTGTTCGAGAACGACAGCGCATATAGCCGTTGTCGTTGTTTTTGGGAGTTTTTCTACGTCTGTAGGGGGTTGGGGGCGGCTATCTTCCTTGCCCCCTATTTACTATGCCATTGGTGAGTGCTTCTGGACGAATTTATCGTACGCCGTCAGTGGATGACCAGTAAACAACTCCCTACATGACGCTAATGTTTACGACCTCTTCGAAACATGTGGCTGTTGTCCGGCCCCTGTTGTTCGGGATTGATGTACTTGGTCGGTGCACTGCGATCGTCCGGCTCACGTGTACATACATCTGTGGCGATGGGTGCGTCAAGTCATAGGCTTCTCTTTCAGTCGTTTGGCGTACTGCGACTTCAACGATGTCTGATGACACCAATCACTAACCTACGGTTTGGTTTGTGTGTCGCTTCTTGCGTGTTTGTCCGCCGCACACACAACAGGCCAAAACGCCCTCATCAGGGATAGGTGCAACTCGCGCTCCTCGCTTTTGGACGTGGCGAAGTACTTTTCGGGCATCATCTGTTCCCAGAAGGATGCCGCCATGCTGCGTGACGCAATCGACCATCTGCCGCCTAATCGGATGGCGGCTCCACCAGCGACCGCTTTCAAGAGTGTGCTCGAGTCCTGCGAGTTCTCCATCGCGGGCTGGCCGCGGCGGTTCATGGAGCAAGAGATGACCGCGGCCATCACGTTTTGCCAGATGGGTGGTGGGGAGGTGGATGGACCAGAACGCGCGGCAGCTTCGGGGCGCACGTTCGAGTACATCGAGGACAAGCTTTGCGACGCCATTTACGTCTCCGGGATTCACGAGCAGCGTGATGACAAGGCCTTCGACTACCTCGTCTTGCTCTTTTCCGACGGTAGCCATCTCTGCCAGTGCCGCACACTCCAAACTCTCAGGCTATTTTGTCGCCATGTGTGGGCGGCGATGATGTACAGCCCCCGATTCAGATTCCACGTAGGCCTCCTGCACGAGCACTGGCTGACGGAAAAGGCGAGGGGAACACCGCAGCAGGACTGGCCGGATGTCGCCCGCCCTCGGTGGGTGGTATCCAACCGCCACGCTGCGAGAGAAGTGGACGGGGCGGCGGGAGAGGGAGAGGGAGAGGGGGTGGGGGGATGCAGCGGGAGATGGAAGTCTTTCGTTGGAAGCAGCCAGACGGTGCAGACGGTCCTGTTGGACTTGAAGGAGAAGGGGCCCACGGACCAGGATAGACAAGTGTTGTACGCCGACGTAACGAAGAAGCTCGGGCAAGCCGCGAGTATTTTGTCTGATCGCTTTTCACCGACAGTCGCCGTAGCCCTCGTGACGCAATAGCGAGCGCCGGGTTTCATTTTCGGTCGGGAGGCGTAATTCACAAGATTCGGGGACACTACCGTACCGGCCCCGGATTTCTCTCTCGGAACCGGAACCGCTGTGTGTGCCGCTCCGCGGAGTCTGCATTGCATATTTGTATCGAATTTTGCCGTGCCAAGCGGCTTTGGGTCTCTTGCATTACGTACGTTTCCCTTGTTGCGATTCCCTTACATTTTGCGGACGAGCATGACGAGCATGAATGGCATGCTGCTGCTACTCCAGAGCAAGAAAGACAACCCTAGCGACGGGTGAGATTCTTCGACACCCTCCTCAACACCAAGTCCCCCACTCTGAACCCAGACATCATCGAGCAAGTGACGCAGCGACCGGCGACACGTGCCACTGCTCGACGGTTGGAAGCGGCGCCAGACCTCGAGGAGGTGGAACGGGCAACGAAAGAACTGCAGAAAGAACTGGGAGGCACTCGGCCATGACTCCCTCCCTGCCGAAATGCTCAAGATCGGCGACAACGACGAACCCATTGTCCTGGAGCACATTCATGCCATCCTGGAACGGAGGAGAGATCCCCCAGGAGTGGAAGGACGCAACCATCAAGGTGATGTACAAGAAGGAAGGGTGCCTGGTTCAACTGCAACAACTTCAGGGGGATCTCGCTGCTCTCAGGTAGGCTACATGTAGGCTTCCGTCAAGATCATCACCAACCAACCACGTCAGCGCCTACTGCGAAGCCAACAACATCCTACTCCCGGAGGAACAGCGAAGGTTCCGACCTGGGTGATCGAGCCAACATCGACATGCTGTTCGTCGTGCGCCGACCCCAGGAGCTGGGGCGGAGAAATTCCGCTCTACATGTGATTCGTCGTCCTGAGAAGTCTTACGTTCGGTGGACCGAGAGCTGCTGCGGAAGGTGCTCACCAGGAGGACCAGGATTCCCGAGCAGGAGATGATCGTTGTCATCCGCCTATTCCACGACAGAATGCGAGCTCGGGTGCGCGTGGACGATGGAGAGTTTCCGGACTGGTTCTGGGCCACACAAGGCCTACAAAGTGTGCTGTCCACGCTTCTGTTTAGCATCTTCTTCGTCGCGGTTCTCGAGGTCGTTGTCATTCGATTCAGCGAGGATGATGTAAATCCGCAGAATGAACCTGGTGTTCAGGAGATATGGCCGGGAGTTCTCCGACAGGCCGAGAGTACCGTTCCGACTCAAGACTCGCCTGCTCCAGGCGGATGCGACGGAGGCACTGCTGTACGGTTGCATGACATAGGCCTCACGTCGTGACCACCACCAGCTGTTGCGGTCGATACATCACCGGCCGCTGCTGCGAGTTATCCGTTACCAACGCAAGAAGGGCGCCTACCGGCAGGTTTCCTACGCCCAGACCCTGAAGGGTGCATAGTTGCCAGAGCGTGGAAGCCACTGTTCGGCAACCGCGCCTGCTATTCGCGGGAGCAGTAGCAAGACAGCCAGACGAGCGATTCCCGAAACGGCTGATGCTTGGCGAGCCGGTGCGGGGGTAGGCCCCAGGCAGGGGAAAACCGGAGCAAAACTGGCAGATGTGCCTGAAGGACGACCTCAAGATGTTCGAGGAAAAGCACGGATCTACGCACGCCGAGCCATGTGTTTTTGGAGTCCCGCAAGCAACTTGGCCGGAAGCAGCGAAGGTGGATCGGGTTTGGCTTACGGGGGTACTGCAGGGAGCCAAGAGGTTCATGACCTCCTGGCACAATGATGAAGAGGAGGCTAGTCGAAAACGAGCGCTCCAAACGAAAAAACACCTCCAGCAACAGTGCGGACATGGCGACAACCAATGAAGCGGGAGGGGGGCAGCAGATGGACGAGACGGCGACGGAAGAATGCTAACGAGAAGAGGCGGACCAAGTGACGCGATACGCACCGGATTGCACCCCGCATTGACTAATTCGCCCCTCCACCCTGCTTGGCAGGATGCGGGGCACCCTTCATGCGACTCGCCGAATACCTCACGGTGCTTCGCGGTTGGTGATGTGAGTGCCTGGTCCGGTGAGAACCCGGCGTGCTTCGTCCCGGCTTTGTAGGGATGCGAGGTCAATGGTCTAACGACTACGGCATGCACGACTATGAGTACCCCCCCCCCCCCCCCATCCAAAACNCAGATGACGCATACCCCCCCCCCCCCCCCCATCGAAGACCGTGTTCATGTAGTTGTGGAATGTCGGTTGTACAAGGAGAGGGAAGCGAACATGGCTGAGCTGGGAAAGGTAGGAGGAAGGTATTGGGAAATGTTTGAGGCATGGAACAGCCAGAGAAGACGGTAGCTGTACTGGGGCAAAGGAAGTGGGTTGAAAACGCGGGAAGTGATATCGATAGGATAGATAAACTACGAAAGACACTATTGAGACATCATTATTGGCAAAGTAGGAAGGAACGACTGGCCGGTAATCGGTCCTGTGGGAACAATGCTCCGTCCTCTCGAAGACGCGTTGTCAATGTTCTAACCGCTAAGGCATGCAAAGCATAAGATTACGCACCCCCCCCCCTCATCACAGCACCATTGCGTACTCTTTTCTTTCTGTTTGTTTGTTTGAACGTTCCAGTAGTAGTCTGGTGGTTATGGCGTGAGTGTGTTTTCTTAAACGGTGGTCAGCAAGAGTTCGTCGACGGCCACTCTTACTACCCGAGTTGCATCGATCGACTTTTGTGGACGATCGCACTTCGCACCTTAGTGATCTCAAACCGTCACGTCGGTGCAAATTACCCGTGTCATGTTGTTGGAACGTCGCGCACAACCGAAATTGGTCCAGGACGCTTCGGTTTAGGTCTGACTACCTAAATTTAGGAATATTCCACTCACCAGGCAGGTATTCCGGAACCTCACGCGAAGACATAGACCCTTGACAGCGGGGGCGGGGGCTGTGTCGATGGCAGCAGCAGCTATCTGCCCGACTGGGGGGGGTGTCGTCTCATTGTCGAAGAAAGAGTAATCGTCTCCGAACGTTGTTGGTTCGTGTGTGTTGGTGTTTCCCAACGAGATAACTAATGGAAAACATCGTCTAATTGTCGAAGAAAGAGTAATCGTCTCCGAAAGTTGTTGGAGCGTGTGTGTTGGAGTTTCCCAACTGGATAACCAATGACAAACGCGCGCACCTTGGCTCTCTCGGTGTTGTATGTTTCCAAACGAGGGTGATATGGTGCGCAGGGCCGCCCATGGTTTGCCGGTATCAATTGATTGGGAGATAGAGAGAGAACGTAGTGCGAGGGAGAGGCAGAAAGAGACAAAAGCAGTGTTCTGCGAAGAACCTCATGGTGCTTTGACGAACACTGTACTGTAGAATGGATGGTTTAATGAGATGTATGTTGCGGTCCCCGGAATCAAATCTAGGACCATGATTTTTGGTAGGGCTTGTGAAGCGGTCCGCCCCCGAAAGAATATCGAAATAATCACAACGGGTATTCTGATTCGTGAGGCATGTGTCCACACCGTTCCCCCTCCCGAACATAGGTCCTTTCCAGTGGGAAGTAGACTGCCGCCTGAAAGCTTCCACTTTCCGCAGAACGGTTCCTCGGCACGTTCTGCTGAAAGACCTACACAAAGTTATATTGTGTGCATCGTCGAACGCCTGATGACCGCTTGCAATGCCGAATAAACCATAAAAGAGCCAGACAGAACCAAGAGCCACGCTTGGTATGAGGCTACACCTGCGGACAAAAAGAAAGATACGCCCCACATTGTCAATGCTACGCCACCGCCATAGGTGATCGCGGGTAGTAGGGAAAGCAGGAAAGTAGTAACCTCGGTCGCCAACCTCGAACAACGAGACAAGGCAATATCTGAAAATCGGTCAACAGAGCGCTTGCGAAACTGTTTTAGTTGCACCGTTGCCTGGATCATGCTGATGCATAGCGAGTAAAGTCCGAACCACGAGCTGAGAATAGGCACTAGGTCACCCCCTAAGATCGCAACAAAGACAGAAGTCGCCTCGGTGAACCCACCGCCGATAAACTGTAACCATAGCATCGCCGTGTACAGGCCCTTCTTTGAGGGGTTACAGCAAAGGATTTTGACGGGGAGCATCAGCGTCACGGCAAGTACGTTCCACCCGACGAGAACCATTGTTTTGTCCCAAGTTAAATCGTTTTTCTCCTCCATATCCGAATGGTTCATGATGAATCCCACAGTGGCCTTGCCGTCCGCTGTTTCCGTCTGGGCCATAAGAAATCCCACAGTAGCCTTGCCGTCGGCAAACGCGTACCTAGGACAAGAGGGTCAATTGTGCGCGATTTGACATTCTTTGTGAGCAGTCAGGCAATGAGGAAAAAAACATTTTCAATAAACGGAGCACACACGTTTCCTTCAAGACATGTATTTTGTTTGTTGGCCCGCAACAGCACACCATCGCTCTATTTATTTTCCTTTTCAGGAAGTTGCAGCCAAAAGAACGGTAAACCGGTCTACCACGTGAAACGCTCCTGAAAAGCTCATTTCGAGTTTTCCATCACGCGGCAGCGACACTCTGTGACTGCAGTCAGTGCCATTCATGCACCGGCCTTGTGAACATTATAACACTCCGATTGCTACATCTGACACCAAATCAATCCAGACAGCCGATGAATAGATACCTTAACACGACTGACCTAAGGAATGGCAGAAGATTTTGCGCAACGCTCCTGATGCATTTTTTTGACTGGCGCCGAGGGCAGGAGAACATTTGCGATAGCATCCCTGTGGTAACAACCATCAGACCAGCCACGAGCGCCATCAAAATGGCAGCTTCAGGTATGCCATCAATGACGGTGCCGATCTTCAAGAGAGTTGTCATCACCTACATAGGAGGCGCAGCCCATGAAATGGCAAGTACCATTGATGCCATGGTAAGATTGGAGTTCAAGGCAAGTAGCGATGTCGAAAGGATCCTGAAGAGGATGTTCGTACATTGATGGCAACAAAAGAAGGAACCATATCGCAATTCTACTATTCTTATAAAGCAGAAGTCCTTACGACGCGTACATCTTGATGTAATGATGCCCAGTAATGTTGACATTTTTCTATGTTTTTCGTTTTTTCAAACTTATGTACAGCATCCAACTGACGTACGGCTTTTTAGCGGATGAAAATACACACATGCTGAGTTGCCCGTAGAGCATAAAGCGCATGCTCCCATCGCGCTTATTGACGAGATGACGGTGGGGCACGTCCGTACAGGCGCAATAAACTTGGCATTTCCAATTCACTTCCGCATCATTCCCTGTGGCTTGTGTATCATCTCTGTTTGACCTCATACTGCAGACGTACGATCTCACACACGATGCACACACAACACATGCCGCTACTAGTTGGAATATGGATGGGATGCCGCCTCCTGTTGCGGGTTGCATGCCATCGCCTGCTGTCATTTTGAACATCAACAGCCGGTCGCACCGGTGTTCTATCTACAGCAGTGGTAACCTTTAAAAAACCGCTAGTGGCAACGTCGTGAGTTCGAATCCCCATGGGGTGGAAAAATTACAACTTTGCGGGTGAAGGTGAAAACTATGAATAGCTCTCGTGAGTACCAAACTTCGACGTTAGCGCGGTTGACCAGGGAAAGGGACGGCTGGACGGCTGGACTGTTCTCGCGATAAAAAAAATTCAGCAACAACATTTTCGAAAGAAAAAGCCCCCGCGTTTACCCGCTCCAGTGTGACCCTCTGGATGGTAGTCGCACGAAAAAATACACTGAAAAGTGAACTGCAGCACACGTCTCACCACGAAAAACGGGGGGACTGTCGCCATACTGTATAGGACAAAACACACAACAACACAGTAGCAACATACCAACAGCCAATCAACCATTTTTTATTTCGCCGCACCATTGGTTCGCGCGAAACGATCGTAGTTCCGCCGCAAACCGCGCAAACCGCCCGCTACTCCGCTACTATCGTTAGGCCTGTGCTCGGTAGGTGATCACCGAAAAGCACCGAATTTTGAAAACTTGACCGAAAAAAGTGAGGAATTTGAATCACCGAAAAAATAGTGGCCGATCACCGAAAACGGGAGGCGCCTCGACGATTTTCACCGTTTTTTTTGGGGGGCTCCGTGTGTACAGGCCGTACCCCGCAAATCCCATCAGATACCCCCCTCAAGCGCAGCAGCACAGCAGCAGAGCCAACAGCACACAGCACACAACGAACACAACCCAAGCACCGCGCTGCAGACACCACACACGGTACACAGTACGGACACACTTGTGGTATACGTAAAAGAACACCAGAGTTCGTTTTAACGTTTTCATGTGGAGTACTTCGTACTTCCTACGATCCTTAAAGACATCGCCGAACATCGCCGAAGAACGTTTTCGGCAGTCTACCCTTCAAATTAGCACCGAAAAGCACCGAAAAATATTTCTTGGCTCTCACCCTTTTCTTATTTTTGTCGCCGATTGTCCCCGAAAAAAATTTCAGTGCACCTAGAATAATCACCGATTTTTTTTTTGGCAATCGGAAAAAATCACCGAAAAAAAGAAAAAAAAATCACCTACCGAGCACAGGCCTAACTATCGTGGGCAGTTGCACCGCATCACACGACTTATTCGACTGCGGTCGCCTCTCCTGCTCTGATTAGCTTGTCATGAACATTCACAAGGCAAAGACAATTCTCCAAGAGTCCAAATCAACCCAGAAGCAACGAAATTGAGTTACAGCGTACTGCTGTAGATGACGCACGTTAGGAATGCCACATGTCTGTATGTAGTGGACCGCTCGGCGAAACACGACGGCTCCCACGCTCATACAACCATACTGTCCACAGGTTTACTCGAACCGATCTACCTACAATATACGCAGGGGCGGGCGGCCGCCATGCTACGTAGATAGAGTACGTAATCGTGGGCCGCTGAGCACGTCAAGAGTTACGATATAACACGAAGAATGCTGAATCTTGCTGCACAACAACACGAAGCGAGGATGGTGTCGACGCGTGCCGGCTGCCGCAGTCCACGGGACAAACCTGGTATGCCCTATCCGAACAACTGAAGTGGCTTGGTTTTTCCTTTGGTAGTGTTGACCAAAGCCAAATATCGCTCACGAGGTCTCCGAAAGGAATGAAGTCCCCCATGAACCAGTCCGCAAATGCTGCGCCCGACATCCCTAAGGCCCTGTTCTTGGACTAATCGTTGTGGGAATGTTCCGGCATCGTCCTCCCGTCCATATCAATGTTAGTACTTGTAGCTGCGTGTGAATCGCAGTCGGCGCAATAGGTGTCGGCTGGATGTCACGTATGCGGCGGAATTACGGCGTAGTTCTCGTCGTTCTGCGATCTACCGTACTCTATGCATGTGATCTCTTTGTGAATACGAGCGTAGGCCTGGGTACCTCAACTATCCTCGCCATCCCTTGGATACTATTACCACCGCCCTACCTGGACCTTTGTCCTGTGCATTTCATCTGCGTATCTATCTGTGTGAATCTGTGTTGGTCACCTAAGCGCCGTGTCTACAACATCGCATCATCTTCTTCTGCACTGAGTACTTCTGTACTTGTGCTGCGACAAGCTCTACGGGCCACCACATCGACGAGCGTCGGTGGGCGTCAGCTTCTGCTGCTACGTACTGGGATTCACACCTCAGTTCCCATACCATCACACTACTTCTAACGTCATATACAGTACATGCATACGAGACTCACACTCAAACAGTCAGTTAGATATTCTGGGCGTTGTGTAAGGTCTCAAACATTTTCGGAACGTGGGATAAAGCTAGACTAGCCTACATGGCTGGGGTCGCACCGCGCACACTTCTTAGGCCACATCTTGTGCACAGAGGAGCCCGTCGTGAACAAAAAACTCCTGTTATCTTCCAACGGAAGCATTCTTTCGGCAATGATTTTTGGGTGTACCTTTATCTCTTTTGGTGACATTGCGCATAACTCCCAGCGATGTCCCTCCAGCCCTTGTGTGTCAGCTTCTTCTTCTATACTTTTCATCCCCCCCCCCTGGCTCCGTTGTTGGTGCTTGTCCCTGGACAATGGTCCGTGGTCTAGGCTTCCGCCACGAGCTTCTTGAGAACGTAACGGACACAAAGAGATCCAAATGCGGGAATCCTGCGGGCTCCGTGAGAGGCGAGTAGGACACCTGGTCGGAGTGAATTCATGGCACGTCATTTCCGCTTAGTCAAAACCCGGTGTCTGCATCTCCTCGTCCTACACGGCGTGGACGTGATGCCGCCCGTTTTATCTAGAAGTCCTCCTCAATCGGCCGCGGAAGTTACGAGCATGCCCCATCCCCAGAGAAGTTTTCTCCACGAATCAAACACGTTGTCGTGATTTTGCGATTCCGGAAAAATAGGTCGAGGGGAAAGCGGGGGGTCAACGCGGGGGTGTTAGAGTATCGAATCCTCTTGGCGTGTGTATGCAGGCGGTTGTTCTAGTCCGTCGTCGTCGTTGTGTTAGTATTGCTATGTGGTGGTGGTTGTGCAGCTGACGGTGCAAGTGTTGGTGTTTCCTCTGGTGATCGAAGACGTTTGCCAATGCCGATATTCCGGGGGGATTCATCATCGATCACGTATCATGAAGTTCGTGCTCTGCTGCCGCCGTTAGTTAATGATCTGGTACCGTCACCATTTTTCTTTCAGGGGCGACTACCATGTACTGTAGACCGATGAGCAGACGAAGGTTTCGCCACGGGATGCGCAAAGAGCAATTCCGACCAGTCTATTCGGCCGATGATTTTGACCATCAATGAGCAACCGCTGCTGGAAACTAGGGGTCAACTTTGTCGAGGTTATCGTCAGACTTGTTTGTCGTGCACATCCTGCCATCGGAGCCTGCCGGAGGGAGGAGTGGTGACCGCTTGATTGGTCAAGGATCCGGCTTGGGCATTTTCCATAGGTCTATGGATCGGTCTCTTTGATCGCCAGCGGATCTATCCCGTCATGGTTCTACGACTACGCCATCGAGAAAAACCCATCCAATGGAAGATTTTTTTCGCAGCCACCTACGGCAGCTGATCACTGTGCTCTTCCAACAGGGAAAGAGCCGAGGCTTGGCAGCCCCAACTCAACATGGATGTGTTCATGTGTTGTCGGATCGCTTCGCCCAGGTTTTTTGTCCACGTTAAACCAGGCGAGCATTGTCTTGTCCCTACGGCCTTGAGAAGTTAGTTCGTCAACAGGAGCCGGTGTCACGAGTCGCTGCTTGGCTTGCTGCCTCCACAACGATAGTTGACTGTCGGGAAGAGCCGAGCAGTGGATCGGGATTCACTCCTGGTGGGTACAAGTAGTCCTGCCTAGCCCCGCCCCGCCAACGGAGTTTCCATGCCATCAGGCATTATAAGGGAGCGTGTACAGCTTTTCTGCGTACAGAAACCACCTTGCACGAGGCTACTTGACTCCAGAAATCGCGCATCAATACTTTTTTCTTGGCGGTTCTTGAAACATCAGACGCTGACCGTGTGAAGATATTGTCATGTTCTCTGCCGTAGTCACGCCCGCAGCGATCACAACCAACACCTCCATATCAATGGTAGCCAAGGTATTTAGCGCATGCTACTTCCCTTACCAGCAGAGAACCGGTACAAGTTCACCAGATGACGGGGGATCCACTAGACCCGAAAATGAGGAGACTTTGGATATTTGGCGAAACAAGAATGAATGCGACAGAACCCATGCTGCGATTGATGTGTAAGGGCCTGACTTTCCAGCGCAGACCCCAGTGGGGTCTTGAGTCGAAAACCGCACGAGGCTTTACAGGTCCGTTATGTACAAGTTTACCTGCTCACCTTTGTCTTCTCGACTACGTACGTCGTCTTAGAATCGACAAATTTTGGGGAAGCTCGAGGAGAGCAAGAAATGACAAACCACCTGTGTTGACTCCCGCATTGTTGCGGTCGAAAACACACGCAGTTTGTGATTGGTATTCACGTTCGATAATATATCAGAGCCGACACTCTATGTCGGGGTCTGTTGTAGTTTTCTTCTCGCTTTCCCACGCCATTGAAAAATGACCATCTCAGCACTAAATTTATCATGTTTTTGGGATAGAGAACAGGACTCCGTGTTTAACGCACAAACAGTATTTACGCTCGACAGCAAAACCAACACGTTCTCGAACATTTGGTGAAAAAAAAAGAAAAACACGGGACACTCTTACACGCTCCACGCCACACGAAAATAAAACCGAGATCTCCTCCGCAAACACACATGTACCCACGCGTCAACACCAAAAGAGAAGCGAAAGTCACCTAAGCTTCACGCACAAAAAGGAAGAGATAACGTGTTGTTACCCTTGAAAGGGAAGAAAGCTGCCCGTTTCGCGCAACAAGTATAAGAGACAACAGCACGCGACATTATTCGGGAGCACGATGTCGAGCTACAATTAGCAGCATCGACGCAACTTTTTAGTTTGGGGGAACAAACGCAAGATGGGAGAGGGGCGACGGGCGACGGGCGACGGGATCCCTTGCGTGACTGCGGTGATCTGTGTATCGCATGGAACATCCCTCCCTCGCCGAATCCCCTGGAATATTTACAACAACAAGACACCACTACAAACAAAAACAAATTATTGCACATTCCCCAAGAGATGGAGCTCCTGTTAATGCCTAGGACGTGCAGAAGCCGCCCAAGACATTGCGAGAGATGCCCCGAGGATTCCTGTGCGCGCTCTTCTTCATGAACGTCCGGTCCTTTGAGGTGTGCCTGGCGTGCAGGCGTTTCCCAAGCAAGAGGAAATGCGGGGAGAAAACGCGTGGGGGGAGGGTGGATCTGAAACGCTCAAACGCCGTACATGTTGGTGTCCAAACGATCAACAGTCCCCCGGGGGGGGGCGGGGAGGAGCAATAGGAGGGGAGCTTCAGGCCGAGCACATAATTCTATCGAGTGACCCCACAACGTGGTGGCGGGCGAATTGGTTCCCGCAGGCACGCCTCGTGTGTTCCTGGCTTGAGTCAACGTTGATTGGTGTAGCGTTCGCCACACGTGGGTCTCTGTTCGCCGGCAAACTTGGTGGCACCGGGCTCGTCCAGATGCGGGAGCGCGCAGGCACGGTTTTGAAATCACGTGTTCTCCACCTCCAGCGAAAATCTTTGGAGACGCCAACCCCTTCTGAGGTGATAGTGTAAGGCCTGACCTCCTGCGGTGCCGCTGTTTTGACGCGCAGAGACATCCCGCTAACAGGTTTTGGGGTACAAGGGAGTCCTTCCGCGGCAGGTCTTCGTGTCCCAAAACTCAAGGCAGTAGGCAGCAGTAGCAGCGCCAAACCGAATAGACTAGAGCGCAAAAAAAGAAATGAAGGCGGTTCAGGTGTAAATAGCGTCCCGAAACGGCGTTCGTCCTGCTTCGTAGCCCTTCCTTCGGTAGCACCTGTTGAAGGAGGCCATCTATAGATACTAAGAGGCTTATGGCAGGAAACACACATGTAAATATATCATGCGTGATCCGCGTCAGTTGGGCCAGTACGGGCATTAGAAGGTACTGAGCGGAGATCGGAACGGTTCTTAATGTGAAGACAACAATGTGATCGGACATTAGAAGGTCTTGAGCGGTGACCGGTTTTCAATGTGAAGACAACAAACAACAATGATCGCGCTCGTACGGCACAGTCGTCGGGAAGGTTTTTTGATGGAACGGTATGGCCCATAGCAGTCATTCAATGAACGGCATCGGCCATCTCTGTAGAACCGCAAAATTTCGTGCGGCATAAAAGACACATGTACGTACGACTTTGCACAGGGCGCAATCTACCGGATATGACACACGTTCCTAACGCTCTCCGACGGCGAGACTTCCTCCGCAGGAGGCTGCGGCGAAGGCTCCGACGTGATAAGTTCGCGCGGAAAAATAACTCATCGTTTGGTTCAGCAGGCTTCCGCATCACCCAGTGTCCTGCTTTTGCATCTGTCGGGTGGTCATGTGGTCATTTGTGACTTTCTCGGAGGCATGACTTCCGTTAGACACCCCGAGATTGAAATTGATCAAGAACGGCGGCGAGGCACAGGGTCAAGAGATGGTTGCTGTCTCTTACCAAGCTCCCACCCGAAGTCGCGGAAATTTTAGGAGAGCAGGCGGGGTTGAGCGTGGACTGTTGGGTAGGTCAAGATGCCGGGCAACCACGCGCAAACACGGTTACATCCCCCGAGACTTTGTGCGTTTAAATATTTCTTCCTATGCAGATGTGGTCAACAGTGTGTTCCTTTGCTCACAACGGGATAGAACCGCTCTCCGATTGCTGATCATTCCCGGTCGGGAGCGGCCGTGGCTGTTGCCCACAGATGGCGTGCAGCCAGTGATAATCTGCGCTGAGGTTGGCACGGCCGGTGTTGTATGTGAGGCCACCAAACACGCACGCGAAACGCACGCACGTACATACCTGACGATGCGGACGGGCCCATCTCGAAGCACAGCTCCTCTCTTGTAAGCTTCCAGCCGCTTCGCGGGAGTGTCCCGGATCAGCCTGCTCCCGCCGTCGACAGCATGACGTTCAATCCAATAAGAACTAAATCGCCAACGTTTAAGATAGAAAACGCTTTGATTCACCCCAAAATCGAAGCGGAAGGGGTTTCCAGGTAGCTGTTCGTACTGACATGCAAAGTCATGATCGGTGAAACCCCCAAATGGAGTGAAACCTGGTGCAGTGCTCGGGCCTCAAGTCCATAACCGAGCCGCCACAACGTGCTTCGTGGAAGAGCGGAGCCGATTAACCTCGGAGCAAAACCCGCAGCCCGTGGTAGCAGACGCACGCATGTCAAAGGGCAGTCTCGGCTTCCATGTTCTTAAAAGAAGCATTGAAAGGCCGAACCTAGGGAAACGAAATCCACATTGCTGGGCGGAAGATTCACCTGTATTGGTGCCCCATGCGGATAGCGGGAACGGTGGCAGGTCGCACGCACGGCGGGAAGTAGTCCAGGCTGGTAGCCCTCTTCCCCTGTGGAGGGGGTACGCTACCGTCTAGGAGATGCGGTGGGATGAGCCCCGAGTCAATGCTCCTGTCGGAGATGTTGTGGGTCTGACGCATTGTTCGAGAGAGCAGACGCAGGGGGAGCGTTAAGTTGTTATTACTTTCGTGGTTTTTGTTTTGGAGTCCAGGTTGAAGGTAGTGTTTAAGACTGAAGTTGAGGTTCGACCCTAGACGGCGATCTCTTGCCCGACAAAGAAGGGACTGTTGTGTTTATTGTTGAGGTCGGTGGTTCCGTTGTGTGAGGGCCCATCGCAGTTAGACCCCAATTAGGATATCTGTGGATAGAGGCCGTTCAACCAGAATTTCAACTCGACACCAAGAATAGAACCCGGGCGTCGGGTGAAGGCGTCACGCTCAACCTGCAGCTGCCAATTTGCACGTTTTCCGCTGATGGACAACCCGATTGGGGGCGTTGCCCGGGCCGAAGGCTTGTACCGGAACACTGTGCCTGGTCCTCGCGCGCCACGATACATTCACTACACCACCCTTTTGCAACCTTTTTGACCACACCAAGCCCAGGAAAGAAAGGGTGGCCTCCCTCTGAGCAAGTACCACGCCATGGTAGGCTCGCCGCACGTTTCGAGAACGGAGGGTCGATGCCAAAATTCCCGACCAAGCTTGTGCGCTATTGCTCTACACCTGTAGAAACAGTGTACATACATAGTGAATGTCACATCGCCATTGCTCTACACCTGCAGCAAAGTGTGGTGAATGTTACATCCGGCACTATGCTACAGCAGCAACGAACTCCACGAAGAAATCAGTATCGACGTCTGTTCAGCTTCGACACCTCGTTTGTTTCCAACAGTGCTGGGCACATGACAATACTTCGAACCCTTGATTATTTTTTGGAAATATTGCTGGACTCACTCTGTGGGCCGCGAATTCAAGCCTGGTGCAAAGATTGCCCCGACTCATAAAGTAGTCAGTCTCACACCACTTCAATATGTTGCTGATTCCAAACTCGGATTTCGGGGGAGATTGACGTTGTTTTGGTTGTCGTTGTCTTCACTGGAACATCGTCCTAAGCAACACCTAGTACACGCCCTTGTTCCTTACCCTTCAAAAGAGCCTGGAGCAATTGTTGGCGGTCGCAAGCACACTGCAGACAAGGTCTTCACCAATAGAAGAAACAGGCTCAGAGTTGGTAACAATACCCACGAAGAACGTGTTCTTTAGCTGGCAGATTGAGCCTGTCTTTCCATAAAACCACTGACGTTGAAATCCTTCAAAACTTTGGAAAGACTGCGGGTAAATATCCTCAAGTGCAGCAGTCAATGACTACCGTATTGTGGCCAAGGGTGGGTCGGCGATGGAAGAGGTCTCGATCACAACATAGTCTATGTACTACCGTAGAGAAAATACAATCTTATAAAAGAGCAGTGGCCAAAATTGGGTACAGTCGAGGTCCCTCTATAGTGCGGGTTATATAGTGCGGGTGCCCGGTATAATGCGGGTGAAATCGCTTGGCACAACTTAGACCCCTCTATAGTGCGGGTGCCGCACTATAAGAGGAACCCCGGTATAGTGCGGGTTTGGTCGATCTCAGAAACCTCTATAGTGCGGGTCTGACGTCATGACGGCCTAAATGCGCGGTCAAACCCGTCGACAAGTTCCGCACAACGTACACAAACCTACCCCTAGCGGGATACTGTATACTGTACCCCTACTGGTCACGAGAACAGCAGCAGCAGAGGCGCACGATGCCATGTGCAGCAGGCGAACTCTGCCATCTCAGCACCCTCACACCTAAAGCCCCCGATGGTCACCAATGCCGAGGAGGATGCGGAGGCAGACTGCACGGCATATGCGGCGAGGTGGAGGAAGAAGGCGAAAGCGAAATGAATCGCATCTGTCATACGTGCTTGTCTTCTCAACAAACCGCTACGGCTGCCACGGGCAAGCGGAAGCCGCAAGAAGCGAGCCGCATCCCAAAACGCATGAAAGCCGTGGGAGGCAAAAAGGCGGACCTGCGGCTCTATGCTAGCGGCTCAGACGTGGGCATCAATCGAAGATCAGAAGGATGTCATCGAGGCGCAGCAGACGGATCAGGCGGATGACATGACGGCGGCCTTGAAGGGCTTGTCGGTAGAGGGGTGGGAGTCCTCGGATAGCGAGGAGGAGGAAGAGGAGGAGGATGACGAGGGCGGAAACATCGGAGGCGGGCGTGCGGAGCCACCGCCTTACACGGAACTTTCCCAACACTTCGCGTCCCTAGAAAACTACGCGGCAGGGTGTGGTTTGGACGAGGCCAGCTTCTTGCTCAAGAGGGCGCGGATGTTGATGATCGAAGCGCATGCATCTAAGCCATCTCGTCAGACTGACGTCCGGGCGTATTTTGACGCGTAGATCAATGAGAGATATTTTGCTGCACGTATGTGTTGCATGAATTACTGTGTGTCGGGATTATTGCGCCTGTGCGAGTATGCGCCTGTTCTCTCATTGATCAACGTCTTCTCCCCTGTCTTTTCTCCGCGGGTGTCGGCTTTTGTTGTGTTCCTTTATGCACGTGGACTCACTTGTTCGCTTTGGAATGCTTGTTGGATAATCTCCTGTGGCTTTCATCATACGGTGATTCCTTGTGATTGTTTTTCAACGTCCACGGAGCCGTCGATGCACTATAAAACAATGGGACACCGAACATTAACATTTACAACATGTCGTGGACCAAATATCCTCTCGGCTGTACAGGATTTTGTTTACACCGCTGCTTCACTGCTGAATTTGCACCACGACCCACGTGTTCTCCTAATACCATTGAGCAAACTCGGGTTTCTTTTCCTGAGGCGGCACTGATACCTATTCAGCCCCTTGTTGGTTGTATGTACTACAGTGGCACCTTCATAACCGTCGTTATGGCCTATGTCCTACCCTTTATCCTAGTAATATCGCGAATAGTGCGGGTATGCGCACTATTTAGGCGCTTATTTATATAGTGCGGGTGCCCGCTATAGTGCGGGTAGAATCGCCTGGCACATACCCGCACTATAGAGGGACCTCGACTGTACACCCAGTCCAAACACGGCCATAATCGGGTACCCCTACAAGACGCTGCTGGGAACGACCGCATCACACCATCTGATTGGCCGACGCCCACCGCTACCCGACCTTGACCGTCTTTCCATCGGGTGCACCAGATCTTGGCTACTCGCCCCCTGGAGGGGTAACCGGTTTTTCTTTCCCCTACCCGAAAACGGCGGGGCTGTTTGGCCAAACCCCATGCACACAAGTACACGTAGCAATGTCTTGCCCTCGAATTCGGACGTTCTGACGGCGGGCGGGGGCGGACACCGCCGCCCGCCGTGGAACTCTTGCTTGGGGAAACGGCGTCAGGCAGGCGGTCCGTGCAAATGATCGAGAAGAGCTGTGGATGAATAACTCACTCGCGAGATGCGACACACACGAGACGCATCTAAAAAATAGACGTATTCTCTGCTTCCTGCTGCTTTCTCATTGGCGACAAACGAGCGGCCAGCGGTGTGCGTCCTACCCGTGATTGTGTGCATGTGGGTTTTCGCCGAACAGCCCCGCCATTTTCGGGTAGGGGAAAAAGAAAAACCGTGAACTCCTCCGGGGGGTGAGTAGCCAAGATCGGGTGCACCCGGTGGAAAGTCGGTCAAGGTCGGGTAGGGGCGGGCGTCGGCCAATCAGATGGTGTCATGCGGTCGCTCCCAGCAGCATCTAGAAGGGGTACCCGATTATGGCTGTGTTTGGACCGGGTGTACCCGATTTTGGCCACCGCTCTTCATGAACCCACACGCAACAGTAGGGTTGGCACAACCCAAGCAGAGCTCGTACTATCCGGCGTCGCCACCGGCGCGTAAAGAGGTGCCAGGTGTTATAGGTTATCACTGACCGGTAGAAGAGTTCAGAGCAGCAGCAATTGATTTGTTCCGTATCATAGCAACATGGCTCCAACGGCCCCCAACCATTCGAAGGATTCACTGGCGTCTATGGTGCCAACGACAAGAGACGACGACTGATTATATCTTTCTTCTACCGTCAACCCTCTTACGCGTTTCCAGAAGTCTTCGTCCACCTCGACAAGGCTGGGTACATGATAACAGGCAACCCACCTGCACGGCGTGGAGTCGTCCGGTGCAATTGTCGCGAAGAGTGCCCCACATCTCCCTCGCAGACGAGTCCCTCACATATCCTATCGATCTATACGCATGGAGCCACGAGAAGACACGAGGCGTGAAGCACGGAGCGGAAACACGGTGGCGAGTAGGGGCACACATTGGACGTTCGCTCGATGCTGCTGTGTACAGGCTTCTCGGCACTATTACAAGTATGGTGAAACATCGGCAGCAGCTCGCAACGCCCCCCCCCATCCTCCTCAGCGCCAGACCTAACTGCAACACAACACTAGGATTCGTTTTTTCTCACCCCGTCGTCCGAGGCCGGGCAGCGGCGGCAGATTCCGACGCATAACAGGTAGCAGCGGCCGTTGCCCCGTTTTCGCCACGCTTTACGCCAGCAGCGTCTCCCCATATTTTGGACGGAGGAGACCGCCAAGAGGGGACCCAGTTGACAGGCAGCAGGGGAAGCTCGTCGGGAGAGAACCTCGGTGCGTAGTTCTCTGCGGTTCGAGCGTGAGGGTTCGGGCGTGGTGGGAGGCTGGTCGCATACATATCGAAAAATCTGCTGCAACAGCAGCAGAGGGGCCTGCTCGGTGCAGTGTGCACGGAGAATCTGCGTCCGTTGCCTCTCCAACGTTCGATTCAAAGGGAGGTTCCCCCGGTTGCACCGCGTATTTTGTTGCGCTTCGGGTTGATGCGGCCTGCGGCCCGCAATTGTTTTTCTGCGGCGGAATACCCGGGGTCTGTGCTCGGCGGCGCTCCGCGCTCCGTTCATTGTTTATTAGGTCTTGTTTACTCCATGACCCCTCCTCTAAAGATGACATGGTACGTAAATGTGGCGGAACATTGCTCGGGTTCACCTTTGCAAAGCTGGAGTGGAGCGAAAAACGGTGTAGGACGAAAGCATGCAGCGCGGGTAAGATATTATTTTGGTGGTGTCTCGCGATCGGTGGGGACTCGCCCGAATCAAAATGTACATTCGCTGGGTGACCGCGGGAAATCGTTTATCGTTCTTCAAGAGTACTTCATCGGAGGGATCGTGAATGTGGAGAAAGCAACAACTGCAGCAAGGGCAGAGAATGAATAACCGTTCGGGTGTTGCGGACGATTTATTTACTGTGCGGCCGGCTCTCCCGGGTTGAAGTCCAACTGGCAGTTCTTCAGGGAAAACGTGCTGCTGCCGAAGCCAACATATACATATTGCAGCATCACGTTTCGTGTCGCTCCGATCACGCATGTATTTGTTGGGGGTTTCACCTGAGAAATACAAACACCACCGTAGGAATTCAACGTACACAGCAGTACTCTACCGTACGGGCCCGGAGATAGATAAAGATCGGCCCGAGGCGAAGTACTTCGTTGCCACTGCCGAGCACAGGTTGTTACACGTTGTAAAATAAGTAGAGAATGGTGTAAGGGTCCACCGCAAAGGTGTGTTTCTTTTCCCGCTTTTCGTATTTTTGGTGAAAATGTGAACCTCTGTTTCTTAACACAACATTTCTTAACTGCGGGCCCGTACTAAGTAGACCAAGACTATGCTACGGAAGAAGAACTGGATTCAATCGATGTTGGAAACAAACGTGGCGGCTTGTGAAACCATACAACACACACTCCGCTTTTTACGACGAAATGACGAGTTTTCGAGATTCAATTTTTCCAAGGTTACCACCATGTCCGGAGGCAGCCCAGCTTGCCAGGTGCTGCTAATTGTGCTGAAGAGGTGGTTCTTTGTCTCAGTAAATTTCACTTTGTCCCGTGAGGAAAGAAAGCAGAATACAACAATATTCGTGTGTACCCGGGGAATCACATAATACTTTTGTTGCAGGTCGAGAAAGTGCGGGCCAGTGCGCCGAATATGACACATGAGTAAGAGCGTGAGAGCGAGGTACTTTCCATGTCGGTAAAAGGCCTCGAGCAGCAAAGCAATGCCAACGTTACCGAGAGGATCCGTCTAGACAGCAAAGGAAGGTGATGCGGCTTTCGTGGAGAGAGGAATACAACACGCCGATAAAAAATACACAACCAACGATGTGACATGGGATTCCAAGCGTTCCGGAAAAAAAAACTTGAGAAGGATTCGCCCGCCAAGGGTTGATCTACCAGTCTACTGTGCCAGGCTCTAACACTGGAGGATGCAGTAGAGTTCAAATATGCCGCATTCACAGTAGAATGTGAGGAATTAAATGCAACACGGACAGGTATCTACAACCTGGGATTCCAAGCACTCAGGTCAAGAATTGGGAGAAGGATTCACGCAAAACGATTACCTACATTCATGCAGGGGAACACAACACCCCAAAATGCCCGAAACAAACCAAACGGCAGGCTGGCCCAAGCTCAAGAACACCTATCTCAAAGCTTCCATCCAACGTACCTCTCAGTCCCGTATTTTTTCGCCGGGGATACGCGCACAATCGGGGTGAAACGTTTTCGTTGGTGAAACAAACACCCCCCTTTAGTTCCCACCAATGGTCTGTGGCGCCTTTCGACACTTGGGGCATGGTTGGAATCTTGCCCCCCCAAGGAGCGTTTTTCGGGTGATGATTTTTCTTGGCGTCGCGTGCTGAACACCGAGGCAATGACTCTCTGTTATATTTTGTTTGGATGGGGGGACTTCCTCTTTTTATTCCGTTTTTCCGGACGTGATATCTCCCGGTGTGTTTTTCTGACGCGGTCAAGGATGTTATGGGTCGTTTTGGTTTCCGTTTTTTCGTTCCTACAAGCGCTTTGGTAAAACCCTAGCGCAGTGGGCCTATCGCCACGGAAGGCGGCCACGTCAGTTGGACCGGTACGGATGTTTGAAGATATTGAGCAGAGACCGGAACGGTTTGAAATATGAACACAACCAACAACAACAACAATAACAACAACAGCTCCAAACTGGACCCGCTGCTGTTCTTGATGCACAGCAAAGTGAGCCCATGTCTTCGAGCGACCGCCTCCCGCGAGGGTACGACAACTTGAGATGAAAAATCTCCGGTTCTGTCTATAAAATGGTATAAAGCACAGACCCATGAACCAAGCATAGACTGCAAAAAAACGTTTTCTCTCTCTCTCTCTCTCTCTCTCTCTCTCTCTCCCTCTCTCTCCCTCGCTAGCGCGCGCGTGCGGGCGAGCACGTTCTACACATAACCGCTAGGCTGCTCCGGCGATGTTTGCCGTTGGTTTTCCCTTTCCCACGCCACGCTCAAAACAGCCAACAGTTACACGCCGTCAAATGCCTTGTGTCTTTGCCTGCCGAAGCAACTTCTTGGGCTCTGCTGGTTGGTCGAGTCCCATAACCGAGCTGTGGTGTTTCTCATGAAACGCGACAAGATTCCGCACCCTCCGTGAGCCGTCGTGCTGATGAGAGCCTGGCCAGCTGACACGTGGGTGAGGGGTTGGAGACGTACTTCATATACCGCCGCCAAACATCACCATTATTCCACGGCTAATTTCTCCACAACGACGAAAGCAAGCGATGGCTGATCTTCGCGTGACGGCGAAAATACCGACGGGTAGTTCCTACGAAGTATCGTTTCGACAAGGGTCTACCGGAAACCGAGTTCGGGACATGTACCAACACTGTCTATCTAAACATGTTTATTTCCGTGCAGAGGGCGGGGGGTAATCATAGTCGTGCATGTCGTAGTCGTTGGGCCGTTGACCCCGCATCTCTACAAAGCCGGAACGAAGCACGCCGGGTTGTCACCTGCCCAGGCTCTCACATCACCAAGCGCGAAGCACCGTGAGGTATTCGGCGAGTAGCATGGAGGGTGCGCTTCATCCTGCGAAGAGTGTTCGGCATCTTGTGCTTACTTCCTTGCATGCGGATGACAGCTACGAGCGACTTGATGCATTTTCTGGTGAATTCAATACCAGAGACATCATAAGCGCCGTGTAACTGCCTCGAGGGTGCTTGACCAACTCGACACAACTTGATGAGATCATCCTTTGCGCAAAGTGGATGTTGTCGACCACCATCATGGTTACCGCAAAAAAAGAATGCAAGGAAAAACAAAACCGGTATAACCCGGTCGTCGAGAGCTCACGAAGCGACCGGCGTATTTTACAACGTCGTTGCCAAGCGACGAAAACCCACGATGTGGCGGGAGGGGCTTATCGCGCCCGGAACTGTCGCCCTTGGGAACTGAACACCCAACTGTATGTCGTTGATCAGGTTCGCCGTGGGAGAAAATATCACAACAAGCCGAACGAGGTTCGTAAAACTGTCACCGCCCTCGCTTGTGATGACTGCAGTCGGCGGCGATGTAATACACACAGCTAGTTGCCGAGACTATATACGTATCGTGCAGTGTTTACTGAAGAACGCGCCACCTCCTATGTATGCTGCCCGAGACTCGCGTCTTGCTTGCTTGCGTGGGGCAGCAACCCAACAGCGGCAGGCTGCAGATGGTATTAGGGTAGGATTAAGACTTGGCCCCTCTTTGAAATCTGTGGGCCAGAGCGGATGGATGCTACAATTTTAGGGGGGCCATATTACAAACACAGAAAGACTACCCATTCGAGATATGTAAACCCACAATCAACCAGGATTTGTTGGAGTCTTTTTCTTCAGTGAGTGGAGGACAACCGGCTGGGTGCTGGACTACCCTATATATACACTGATAACTTACATCAAACGGTATTGCTGAGCAGAGGTCGGCACTGTAGACTATGTGGCATATAAAAGACAACAACAGCCAATAACGAGGGCTTAACTCCCAGCCAGTGGCGCGTTCTGTAGTTTTGCTGCCTGCCGCTGATCGCTCTACTCTGATCCCTTTACTCGACTCGTCTCTCCCTTCTTCGTCTCGCTTCTCTTCACCCCTCTCTCCCTTTCTCCATAACTATCATCTCCCTCGGTGCGCAGCTGCAGGGCATCAAATCTCGTCTCTTGAAGATATCCTCTTGTTGCAAAAGTATATGCAACAACTGCTGTGTCATCAGTCTACGGTTCGTGTGGACAACAACCAACGAGGAGATGAGGCAAAGAAAGGCGAAAATTGTTTGAAATTTGAATGCGGGCAACTGCCGGCATCCCGCACACAACAACAACAAATAGCTGTAGATCCTATTCCTAGAAATATCAAATAGCCCGTGCCCATCGCTGCGACATTGACAGTCAGGCTTTGAGCTCAAGCTTTGGCAAAAACAAAGAATAATTTCGACAGGCGGTCCGGCACTCGATGTGGCGGGTATGTGCTGCAGATTCAGCTCATATCTTGAGTTTGTGACAGCTCGTAACATTCAGCTTTTTCTGCACGTACGAGTATCCTGGGCGTGTTGCGTTGAAATGGCACACGTGTAGTGCCGTACCAGCACGAAGCGAGACGTGTAAACACACGCACCACACAGACTCTCCCAAAAACGGGGGCATTGATGCCAAAGTTCCTTGAACATTATTTCTCTATAGTCCTCCTCCTGCTGTTTCGCCCGTTCCCGGCAAAGAGCAACAACGCCAAAACCCCGCAAGACCGTTGAGGGGGGCCCGCAGTCTGAATCGATTCCGACAAAACCATTTCCAAGAACGTTCGGGCTCTTGCCTATTTTCTACAACCGAGGTGTCTCAACGTGCCTGAAAACACCCCGTCACACCTCTTTCTCTCTCCTCCCCTCGCGTAAGGCGTAAGGGACAGCGGAGCAAAAGATTTACAGGGGAGCCATGGCAAGCTTTAGAGACAGGAGGCCCTCCGAGAGCCCGGTGCCGAGGCGCCGCCCGAGGTCGCCCGCCGAGGAGGTGGCCCTGGAGGAGGGCATGGATTTCGGCTCCGAGGCTGCCTCGCGTTTCGAGCCGGTAGGGCGGAACACGTCGTACGTGCCCGTTGCCTACCCTGTCGCGGAGGTGGCGCCCGCCGCGGGAGGAGGGACCGCAGCTCACCGTGTGGATGACGGCTTCAGGTGCGCGTGCGGGTAGTGTACACGTCAAGAGAGGGATGATGATGACTTGGCAGCAGCTTGTTGTTGTCGATTCTGTAGCGCTGGAAGAAATAGCAGCAGCAGCTCTGGGGGAAAATCTACCCGACCCAGATGGCTGCTGCTGCCTGCTGCCCATGCTGGTGTCCCTGCTGTGTCGGGATGCGTACACACACGACCTGATCAAGGACGCGGCCGCCCTCGTCCGTCGAGTGGGTTGTCTCTAGTCGACGGTGGCACTGCAGCTGTATTGAGCTCTGTCGCTGCTTCTGAAGTCCAAAGTGTATCCGGCGTCTGGGTCCGTCGGCAGAGTGGATGATGCCGAGCAGCGAGGCTGGGTGTTGGGAGTTTCAGCTCCAAGGCAAACTCTCCCTGGTGCCCCAAGCAAAAGCATTGGTGACAACTGCGCGGCAGGCGCACCAAGAGATTGCGCTTCGCGAACGCCGCGCAGCAACGTTAGATATACTCGAACGGGCTTATGATGATCATCGGCCTCTATTCGACGTGTAATTTCCATTTTTCTAACAAATTCCCAGACGTTCTGCATCTGTCCTCTACATGTCTACATTAACCCGTCCTTGCTACGGGGTTGCTCCCTCGCCGTTCCGCGCAATATTAATATTGAGAAAAATAAAAACAAAATACTGCCCGCGGTAAATCTTGAAAATTGTAGACATACAGGTACTTTCTGACGCTATGAATTCATTGCAATCTGTCTCAGACTCTATGATAGAGATGGATTCGTTGTGTCATATTAAGAAAGAAAAAACAAAATACAGGTAGCCTCCGCTGACGCTATGGGTTCATTGCTACTCTATCTTAGACTGTTTTCTGTAGATAGAAATCGATTCGTTATGTCAAACATGTACTTGTAGGTAGAGATGGATTCGATGTGTCACATTTGGGTCGTCTAGCTAGTAGAAGTGGAGGATAGGGGCCAAAGGGGCAGACGACTAAAAAGAGTCCAATGATGGGAGAAAAAGAAAAAAGAAAAAAAGAAATAAAAAGAGTGTACTTTTTAGGTGACATGTGTTAAGGTCCGTCCTTGCTGTTGTACAATACGACGACAGAGTGCGTGCTGCACCATTGGGCAGCTCGCTGGACCCAAGCCTGTGCACGGCATGACACTCCGCCGACCATGCTTAAAAGTCTGATGCGGTCTCCATTCTCATGCCATTACACACTGGCACAGAGCGTCGCTGCACCCCCCGGTTATTCACATGTACCATACAAACATGTTTTCATCCTCGATCATGTTTTTGACCCCCCGCTGAGCTCGGTGAAGGCGGCGAGAAAAAAAGAGCCATTAAACCCGTGGCGGAAGCATCGAAAAGAGACATTAGCCTGGAGAACGCCGGCTTTGCTAATGATGGAATAATGTCCGCAGTTCGTCGCTATCTATCCTGCTACTCGGTGCTGCGTGCGGTTGGGGAGTTTTCATTTTGAAAATTGTTGCGCGTTTCGATTACCAGGACCCCTCTTTTCTACTTCTGTAGGTCATATTTTCTACGAGGTCAGGCGTATCATGTGTGTGACATGTACGGAGTTGGTGTTCACGTCTTCGAAGTACACTTATTGCTTGGTTGACTGCTGTTTGTCCTCTTCCATGCGTGGAAAAAAAGTGGTCTAGCCTCAATCAAACACCATGATGAGATTAGCAAGTCAACAACCGACGACACATGGACCTCGTTTTGCGTCAAGCAACCTATAGCTGTGGTTCTTCCTTCTGTACAACACGAGGACGTTGATGACAAGAACCTGTGCAGCTGCTGCTGTTGTATGTGTGCATGGGTGTTGCCTGTGCGATACTTTGTCTGGCTCTCTTCTTTACTCCCGACACCCCGTTAACACGCTGCTGCACATAGCAAGTACTACAGGAGGGCGGAGAAAAAATGTACAAGTATGAAACTCGTGTGGGTGACCCTTGCAATCCCGCGCCTCCGCTACAGCAGTGCTTGTATGTGTCATACCGCCTTTCAGATAGGTCGATTTTCTGCTGCACCACTAAATGCTGCCACTACACATGAATTAAGTCATGCTGGTTTTGTTTATTTCACGGGTTGTGATGCATATCGACTTGATAGACAGGGTAAGGAAAACATTTTTTGAGCTATTGTATCTACCTTTGGCAAGGTAGGAAGGGACGGTGATATGACCATCGGTGATCGGTCCTGTGGGAACAATGGTCCATTCTCTCGAGGACGCGTGACTTAACCGCTAAGGCATGCAAAACGTATGTACCCCCCCGCCCCCCGCCCCCCTCCCCTTGCCATTTCAGCGGGGAGGGCTCTGACGGAGAGCCGGAAATGTCGGAGTTTGCGGAGTCCCAGTTCATGAAGTCGGAGTTCAACGATTCTCACCTGGGGACAGAGTACTCCACTTACGGTACGGAGTACTCGGGGGAGGAGGGAGACGCCGGGGGCGGCGGCAGCCGCTTTGTGGGCACCACGGAGTGGGCTAGGCAGCAGCGGTCGCAGAACTCGTCTCAGTTCACGGCGGACCGGGACGGCGGCGCGTCAGCGGGCCCCTGGAGCGGCCCCGGGCGAGAAACGTCCGGCTGGGACAAGGACGGCGGTGGGCGGCAGCACCGCGGGAGAGGCAAGTACGCCGGGGAGGACGGCCGAATGCACGACCTGCCCCCCATGCCGGACAAGAAGCAGATGCCCTCGAACCACTCGGTGCTCTCCCACGACCTGAGCGGGTTCTCGGACTTCGACCCCACCCCGAAGAGCACCCACCGCCAGCGGGACGCCAGCGAAAGCGTCGGCAGCGGGGGCAGCGGCGGCGCCGCCGGCGATATCAGAGCGCCGCACCCGGCCCCCTCGGACCGGATCAACTGGAACCGGGGGCTGACGGGGGCGGCGGCGGCGGCGGCAGACGCCGACGCGCGCAACTTGGCGAGGAAGCAGCAGCGGGAGCGGGAGGCGGCAGCAGCGGATTTGGCGCAGAAGAGAGCCGCGAGGAAGGCGGCGTTGTCGGCGGCGGCGGGCGGGGCGGCGGCGGCAGCTGCGACGGTAGCCGGCGGCTCGGACGCGAGCGGTTCGGGCAGGAAGAAGAAGCCGTGGCCGCCGTCGGCGCACAGCGGGCCGCCAGACCCAAGAAAGGGGCAGGCGAACGGGGCGGCGGTGCGGGATATGGGGGACATGAAGGAGGAGGGGAGCGGGAGCGGGATGTCGGCGTTCAGAGCCAGCACGTTGGAGGTGAGAGAGAGAGAGAGAGAGAGAGAGAGAGAGGAGAGCTGTGCAAGTGTCATAGGAAGTGAGGCTTGGGAAGAGTTGCGTTTGCCTGCCTGCTCTTTCTTTGTGTTGGGAGTGTTGATGGTCTAGCGGGCGTAGCATCCCCCCCCCATTGTGCTGCTGACGCTGCTGCCGACGCTCTTGGGGTCTCTGCCAGGCGTTGATATATTACGGTTGTGTTTGCTGCCATCCCGTAAAGGCTGCGGATGGTATTCTTCAGGTGTAAGCAGGCTTGATTTGTGTGGCGCTGGGTTGTGTTACTACTAGCAGCGTTTTTTTGTTGCTATTGTGAACCTGCTGGCCTTACGGCTGCGCGTCTCAGCGTCGAGAACATCTCATCTCGGGGGCGGGGGCTTCCTCCCTCCCTCTCTGTTTTTATGGACGGGAAGGTGTGCCTACAAGCCGCCGGACATGGGAGGCGCAACAATCTTCTCCTCGCGTTCGTCGAGTGGAGCCGACAACAAGCCTGTTGGTCTTGTTTCAGACAACCTTGAGCCCCCTCCACCCACCCCTAGTACGACACAGTCTCGTGTCTTGGTTATCGACCAAACCCTCCGGATGTTCCCAGTACGCCAAAGCCTCTAGCCCCCCCCCCCCTCCCGACGAAGACAGGCGCAGCTGGCAATGTAGGAAGGAACGACGACAAGACCATCGGTGATCGATCTTGTGGGAACAATGCTCCGTCCTCCCGGGGGCGCGTTGTCAATGGTCTAACCGCTAAAGGCATGCAAAACATAAAAGTACCCCCCCCCCCCCCCCCCCCCCCC